TGAGACTGTAGTGGGTAGCAATGCTGCCTCTAGGAGTTTCTGAATGGCATTGGCAATGGCCGTTCCTCTTTGTGTTAGTCATCCCCCGTCTTCAGATTAGGATGTTGGAGTGGATAATGTTATAGGCATACTTGGAGTCAGCATAAATGTTAGCCTGTTTATTTTTTGGCTAGGGTGAGGGCCCTTGTTAGAGCTGTCAGTTCTGCCTGTGGAGAAGTGGTATGGGGAGGAAGGGACTTGGCCTTAATGAGAGTTGTGTGACATGGGGAGTGGGGGTGTCATTGGCATATGCACCTGCGTAGGGGGATTTTGTTGTTGTTGTTGAATCTGCCATCTATGAACCAGTCCATAGTCGGTGGGGAAGGATAATCGAGAGTATGTGAGAAGGGATTCATGGTGAGATAGAGGATCTTAGGGGAGGGCTGAGAGGGGTTATATGTGTCAGTGGCTGAAGAGATAACAGGTAAAAGGGTTACTGGGCTGAGTGTAGGGGAAGATTCCAAGGTGAGGTTGGGGTCAGAAGAAAGGTGTGGAGGATCAGGGTACAGAGATGATATAGGAGATCCCTGAGTGAGTGTGAACTGAATACATGAATGGGCTGTAGAGCAAAATTTTGTTAGCTTGTGGAATCAGGAGTGCAGTGGCAGCCAAGCTTTGTAAGCATGGGGGCCAGCCTTTTGTGACCATATCCAGCTGCTTTGGCAAATAAGGTACAGAAGAATAAGTATCTTCTGCCTTTTGACAAAGAACTGTTAGCTCTTGTCCCTGATTGGATTGAAGGAAAAGAAAGAGGGTCAGAGGGTGTCCAGGAGCTTAGGATAGAGGCCCAGGAAAGGGAGGATCAAAGCTGATCTGTGGAGCTCTGGTGAGACTGGAGACAAGAGAGATTCCTCTATAGGACCCTTAGTGGCCTCATAGAGGGACTTGCTATGCATGAGAAATTAGGCATCCAGATATGGAAAAAGTTTAAAAGGCTCATCGAAGCCACAAGGTCTCTCTTTGTCTTGGGTAAAGGGTATACTACCAGCCCCTGAGTCCAAGAAGTGGGGATAGAATGGTTCCTAGAGGGGAGAAAGCGGCCTAGGTAGTGAAGAGTCAGGGCACAGACCTGCGCCTTCTCTCTGGACACCTGATAGCCCCAGGAACTCAGAGCACTGGGGAGCGCTGTGGTCTGGCAGAGTTTGTCCTGGTGGGTTGAGCTGCAGAGGATAAGGTCATCACATATTGCAGGGGGAAACTAGGATCGAGGTCTAGGGAAGCCAGGTTGTTTTGCAGGCCTTGACCAAAGAAGCAGGGGATGTCCTGGAAGCCCTGGGGTAGGACTGTCTAAGTAGGTGGTTGGGAATTTAGAATATTGAGGTCTTTGCAGGTGAAAGTGAACAGAGGAGTGGAGATGGGTATAGGAGTATAGTAAAACTGTGTCTCTTAAGTAAAAAATTGAAAACTGGGCCATGCTGGGAGGGATGGATGAAAGGAGAGTACAGGGGTTAGAGAGTCCTGGGAAGGTAGGGACTATACCTTTGTTGATTTTTCTTTCTTTCTTTCTTTGCTTTTCTTTCTTCCTTTCTTTGGTTTTTCAAGACAGGATTTCTCTGTGTAGTTTTGGTGCCTGTCCTGGTTCTCTCTCTGTAGACCAGGCTAACCTCGAACTCACAGAGATCCACCTGCCTCTGCCTCCCAACTGGACCGATGGGATTAAAGGTGTATGCCACCACCACCCAGCCTTTGTTGATTTTTCTAAAGTCTTGGAGCAGCAGAAGAGCTCATTAGTTTTTGTTGTTGTTTGTGTTTTGTTTTGTTGCTGCCATTGGTTTTGTTTTATGCCCCCAAAATAGGTGTGTTATGTGGGGAGTGTGTGGGCAGAAGTCCTGCCTGAAGGAGTTGGTGAATTGGGGCAGGAGGCAGGCCTCTCCATGTTTTTGTGGATAGGGAGTATTATACTTGTCTTATGTAGTGGGAAGGGGTTTTTCAGAGAGACAAGGACAGGGGAGTGATGATAGGCTATGGAAGGATTAGCAGTGCCCCATGCTATAGGGTGAATAGAGAGTGACATAGGATGAGAATGGGGTTTTAGGAGATAAGGTCCTATCACCTGAGTCTGGTTCCATTGCTAAGAGAAGGATCGAAGTTGTTTCTAAGGCGAGGGTATATGAACAGAGACTTTGAATCTGGTGAAACAGGAGCCTAGCAGAAACTTGCACCTGACAGCTGTCAGGGGAGGGAGGAGGTGGTGCCCCTGGAGGGCCAAGACCAAAAATGGAAATTGGGCTTTTTAATTCCAGTCACATTCCTGTTCCTTCTCTTTTGTGTCTCCTCATCTCTGTTTTTAAAGACCTCAAACATGGTTTTGAGGAATTCATTCTGGGGTGTCACGGACACTTTCAGTTGTTAGAGTTCATGTCTAATGTCAGGGGCTGTTTGTCCCATGAAGTGGATATGAAGGAACGTTCCTTCTGGATAGTCTGGTTATACATTGGTAAATTCAGTGACAGTATCCAGAAGTCACTTTAAAAACAAGGTGGGGTTCTCTGATGGGCCCTGAGTTCTTTCTTTTAACTTTTCAAGGTTTACCCTTCAATGAATATTTTGTTGCATGCCTTCTGCTAGGCAAATAATCATAATTAAAATTGTTGAGTCACCATGCCATTCTCCAGGTAGTTCCAGTTGGGGCTGGCTGTGGAGATTGCATTTACTCCTCCTGGGGATTGTTCATTTACCTGGAATAGCCTATCTACACAGTCTTCCAGATATGGGTTTTCTTGATCTGTTGTTAAGGTGGATGTGAGTATATAATAATATCCTGCCATGTGAGTGAGTAAACCTGTCAGCGTCTGATGAATCTTCTTTTGGAATGCAAAGGGTTTTCTGAGAAGGACCACGGTTTTTCATCTATGTGGTCCATCTCAGCTATGATGAATAGAATGTGGAAATAGGCAGAGCAGCCATCCCTCTCTATTACTTCCCTCAAGGGAAGGAAGCATATGTCCTGAACAAGTGTATATAAGGAGAAAGGATCAGGCTCTCTGGGGTCATAGGGAGAGTCAAGGATGGGGATGGAGAAGGAACACTCCTGAAGTAGTAGAGGGAGTGGATAGAGGGGATATGGAAGGGGCACTGGGGAGGAACAAAGGAGCTGGTACAGGAGCCGGTGGAAGATCTCTAGGGTGTTTATATAGTGTAGGGTCATCTGCAGGGTTGAAACTGGAGGGATGGGGGTCTTTTTGGAGGTGGGGGTTATAATCAAGATTTCAGTGGCTGTGGTAGTTTGAAAGAAAATAGCCCCAAAGGGAGTAGTAGTATTAGGAGGTGTGGCCTTGTTGGAGTAGGTGTGGTCTTGTTGAAGGAAGTGTGTCACTGTGGACGTGGGCTTTGAGGTCTCATATATGCTCAAGTCATGCCCAGTGAGACAGACCACTTCCTATTGTCTGTCAATTAGGAAGTAGAACTCTCAGCTTCAACACCATGTCTACCTGCATGCTGCTATGTCCCACCATAATGATAATGGACAAAACCTCTGAAACTATAAGCCACCCAATTAAATGTTTGGGTTTTTGTTTGTTTGTTTGTGGGTTGTTTTTTTTTTTTCCAAGACAGGGTTTCTCTGTGTAGCTTTGGAGCCTGTCCTGGAACTCACTCTGTAGCCCAGGCTGGCCTTGAACTCACAGAGAGCCTGGCTCTGCCTGCTGAGGGCTGGGATTAAAGGCATGTGCCACCACCACCTGGCTAAATGTTTTTTCCTTTTTAAGAGTTGTCGTGGTCATGGTATCTCTTCACAGCAATAGATACCCCGACTAAGACAGTGGCAGGGGAAAAGTTGATGAGCAGAGCAAGAGTTACAGAGAGAGAGTCAGTCCAGAGGAAAAAGAGCCATGTACATAAGGGGCTTCAGGCTATTTTCTATCCAGTTTTGTGAAGCTATCTATATCAATTAAGATACTAAAATAAAAGTTCTGACTTCTGGGCAATAATTGTCGTTGTCCAGCATATACTGGGGCCAGATTTACATTGAAAGGTGAAGGAAAGTTGCTGGTCTCAACTCTCCTGATTGGAGCTCCTTTAAGTTATCCCACAAATAGGTTAAGGAGTGTCTTAGCGCAGACAGTTTGGAACCCATAGAAAGTATGGGATCAAGATAAAGAGAGGGGCCAACATCCAAACTCCTGGGGTGTTCCCTGAATTTGGGATTGACCAAATAGGCCTGGAGAGTAGGAGGGGCATCTCCAATCTCATACTTTCCAGAAGCCAAGAGACCCTGGGACCTTGGAAAGTTCCTGGAACTCTTGATTGAGCAAGTCTGAAGGTGAGATGGGGGGGGGGGCGGGATTCCTGGAGTCTCTGACCTGAATGAGTCTCAAGACAATACAGAGAGGAGCTCCCCCACCCCTGAGACCTAACCAGGGGACTTCCCACGAATTACTTTGTCCTGACATTTGCCTGTGTTGGATGAGTGGTCTGATCTGATGGAGAATTGGCCTCTTCTCTGAAGGTCAGACTATCTCAGCATAAAAGAGAAAGATGTGGGAGAAGAGAAATGTAAATATTTTATAAGAAAAGGAGAGGTGATGGAGGATAGACATTCATGAGAGTGATGGACGGGCAGGAATATCAGTCAGGTGGACTTGAAGGGATTCAGCCAAGGTACTGGATGATCATGGTTGCCAGAGCCAGAACCATCAGTGCCTTTCAGGGACTTGGCTGCTGGGATGGGCCCCAAAGTCTAAACAAAACAGAAAGGTGCAAGGAGAGAGGAAGGTAAAGGTAAAGGAATAACTGCCTGGGAGAGATGGATACCCCTGACAAGCCCATTTAAATAGGCCCCAAACTGGGCTTATAAAAAAAAAAAAACTTGCTTAAACTTGCTGCTCTATTCATAATAGCCAGAAACTGGAAACAACCTAGATGTCCCTCAACAAAAGAATGGATAAAGAAAAATGTGGTACATTTATTCAATGGAGTATTAATCAGTTATTAAAAAATAACATTGTGAAATTCGCAGGCAAATGGATGGGATGAGAAAACAATCATCCGGAGCAGCGTGGAGAAGCAGCGAGAACAACCCCGGGATGGACCAAACCCACGCACCGCCGCATCCCCGCCGTCCCCGCCATCCCCGCCGTCCCCGCCGCCGCCATGCCCAAAAGAAAGGAGATAAAGCCAAGGTGAAGGACAAGCCACAGAGAAGATCTGCAAGGTTGTCTGCTAAACCTGCTCCTCCAAAGCCAGAGCCCAAGCCTAAAAAGGCCCCTGCAAAGAAGGGAGAGAAGGTCCCCAAAGGGAAGAAAGGGAAAGCCGATGCCGGGAAGGATGCGAATAATCCTGCAGAGAACGGAGATGCCAAAACAGACCAGGCACAAAAAGCTGAACATGCTGGAGATGCCAAGTAAAATGTGTGCATTTTTGATAACTGTGTACTTTTGGTGACTGTACAGTTTGAAATACTATTTTTATCAAGTTTTATAAAAATGCAGAATTTTGTTTTTCTCTTTTTTCTTTAAGCTGTGTTGTTAGCACACAGAACACTTCATTCTTTTTGGGGGGGAAGGAACATGTGTCACTAACAAAATGTCTCCCAAGCTGGCTGATGGTGATGGCTGATGTTGGAAAACATCTTTCCCTGCTAATATTGAAAGACTCCTCTTGGCTCTCAGGAGAAACATCCTGGTGTTGACATATGTGACCACCTAGTGTGGGAAACTCTAAATTCATTTCTGTGTCTTCCTCCCCTGTACCATCAACATAGACTTAACTCCCTTCAAACCAGAGACCTGTTGGAACCTGACCCCCAAAATTGGTTTTGCCAGTCTATCAGGCAATCTGGACTTTGCAGTGGTATCATTGTGTCCTCAAAAGAGCAGCGGTTCCTTTTATAAAAGATTGTGGATCTTCAGATTGATAATTCTGCCGTGTTCGTTTGGTTTCCTGAAAGTCAGGGTTGGCTTGTGAAAAGTTGATAAACAACATCCTCAATGTGAACTGTCAGCCCTCACTCTAAGCTCTCCCCCTTTTCAAAGCATCGAATGAAGACTCATCAGGTTTTATAGTGGCTTTCTGATTTTGGTAGTCTATACAAGAAGGGAGTTTGGAAGTTCTTGTATACTGTTGTAGATGTAACCAACTGTCTTATTAAATAAGAAACACAGAACCAATATAAAAGAGAAAGCCGAGGCCGGGCGGTGGTGGCGCACGCCTTTAATCCCAGCACTCGGGAGGCAGAGGCAGGCGGATCTCTGTGAGTTCGAGGCCAGCCTGGTCTCCAAAGC